TATATATATATACGTGTATACAAGATTCATGTATGATGTGTATGTATGTGTATCCGTGTATGTATATGTATGTGTATTTATGTATATGTCAATTAATCAAATTTTAACTATGTAATACTAAAATATTAGGCAGTGGGCGAGTGTTTCGCTAGCAACGTACGGGCAGGGCCTGGCTATTTGCGCTCGCTCCAGCTACTGCCTCCGCCACTCTGTCGCTACAGGCGCAGGGCGCAGGGCGCGCTAAGAGAGGCTCTGGCATATCTGCTATCACATGCCACCGCCTCAACGGACCAACGTTGTTGGTTGTCTGATTAGCTTGAGCGTGCCAGCGCAGGGGACTCTATTCTGGCAACAACGACCTGGCCAGCCCGGATGGCGTACAGCGCAGCGCAGTAGGACTGATATCCAGTATGTAGGTAGGTAGGTAAAGTAGTAGTAGTAGTAGTAGTAGAAGTAGTAGTAGTAGTAGATGCCGATTTGGCCCGGACTTGGCCCTTCACACGCGATTGACGGACGGACGGACGGACGGATAGAGGCACGGCGTCGCGGCCAGCGCAGACAATGCAAACCAGTGCACCACCGAACAAAGAGCGGCGGCGGGCACCCCCGATATGCTTTGCATTACCCAGCGTGGGCCTGCGCGCAATGTGCCTCTGCAATACAAACAAAGATCCAACCGCGTTAGCTGTATAGGTACTTCCAACCATCCTCCTGTTTCAATATGCTTTTTTTGCTTTCTTTTGCCCTATTCCTTTCCTACATTCTCTTGCTGACTTTAAACTTACAGCGCATTAAAATTGTAATGTCCCGTTTTATAGAAAGTAATCTAAAACTTGTATGGTGCAATCGATAACGTTGTAAATAATGTATTCAACAAATGAAATATAAATGAAATTAAGCCAAGATTAGTTCTTATATAATAAAACTTGGACAGAAATGTTTGGTTTCTGTTATTTATATACATGTTATACATATATAAAACTTAATGTCATTAGGTGCTTTATAAGATTATTAACTTATGTCATATATTCCAACTTCATATATTCCAACTATAGCACAAAATTATACTTTTAAGATCCTCACGATTTAAAAAATGTTTGTATGCAACTATTTGTATCTTTCAACTTTTAACGGAACATTACATTGCAGTCAAGATTTGTTAAATTTTCGGTTAGAATAGAGCATTGTAAAAAAGAGAAAAAAAATTTGATAATTTCGGGGAAAAATTAATACCGTGAATATTAACCAGTTTGTTTTCCATGTTGCAGGAAAAATTGACTCATAATACACGACATCGTTGCGTTGAATAATCGAAAAATTCGAATGACTCACCAAGACCACGTGCAGCAACGTCTGTAGCAACAAGGATTGGTGCTTTTCCTGATCTGAAATCTACAAATCAGATATGATTATATACCTGCACGCTCATTAAATTTTGTATAACTAAAAAAAATTCTCAGTAAAAAATATTTAATTTTTGTAATACCTTGTAAAACCCAATCTCGTTCTTGCTGCGTCTTGTCGCCGTGAATACAAACCGCTGGCCATCCATCGCGTTTCATTTTTCTCGTAATTTCATCCACTCTACGCTTTGTTTCGATAAATACTATAGTTTTATTCTCACTTTCTGCCATTATCTCCTTCAATAGAGTACTTAATCTATAAAAATGTGACGTGATAGCTTTTTCTTTAGCAGTAATAGTCCTAATTCGGTAGTTAACTGCTAATTATTGCTAAAAACGGCTAGTAATAACTAAGCAAGCCAGAACCACTCGAAACTCTTATACTCACTTATTCTCTTTTTCATAATCCTGACATACATCAATTATTTGCAATATATTATGATTTGCTGAAAGTTGTAATGAACCAACATTGATTTGAGCATAATCTTTAAGAAAATCTTCGGCTAAATTTTTTACTTCTTTAGGCCACGTAGCTGACCACATTAATGTCTGCCTGTCTGGTCTAATTTGTTCTATGATTTTTCTAATTTGTGGCTCAAATCCCATATCCAACATTCTGTCAGCTTCGTCTAATACCAAATATGTACATCTTTTCAGATTTGTCTTGCCGGACTCAAGAAAATCCAGTAATCTACCAGGTGTAGCTATGACTATTTCTACACCTCCGTCCAGATCTCTGGCTTGAGCACCTTTCGGCGCTCCACCGTATAGGCAAGTGTTCCTAATTCCCGATGAATGTCCAAAATCATCAGCGACTTGTTGAATCTGTTGGGCAAGCTCTCGTGTAGGCGCCAATACTAAAGCAATAGGTCCATCTTTACGACTTAATTTCGGTTGGCTGTTGATGTGAACTATCGCAGGCAGTATATAAGATAATGTTTTCCCAGATCCTGTAGATGCAATGCCTACCATGTCCCGTCCGCTTAGTGCGATCGGCCATCCTTGTGCTTGGATCGATGTAGGTTCACTAAAACCTTGTCTTCTATAAGACAAAACATAAACAGCTCAGAATTGTGATTATAAAATTATAAAATTAATAAATAGAGGTGGCTTAAAATTATGAGATTATAAGATGGATAAATAGAGATAGTTTAGAATTGTAATTAGAAATTATTAGTTAAATGGAGATACTTAAAATTTTGATCATAAATTATAAGATGGATAAATGGAAATAGGTTATAAAAAGGGAGACTCCAAAGCGACCCTCACCGATTTCAATAAAACTTGTCAGGATTGTAGAGTGTGTTCTCCTAAATAAAAATCATCCCCCAATTGGACATAAACGGTCTATTGTTTCCAAGATATTTCAATATTAAAATTGATGCATTTGAACAGCATTTCCTTTAGTATTTATTAGAACTTTTATACTCGAATATTTGTAACGTAGTGGATATGATAACAATTTCTCTATGTAGCACAGAAATTTGCAACAATATCGCTGCAAAATCTTTGCAATGTTGCAACAGTGTTATTGCAACTTTTGTACAATATTGCAGAGATTTTGCAGTGATATTGCTGTAAATTCTATGCTGTATGAGATTATCATATTCATTATTCTGCCAAGGTTTATTGAAATCTGTGAGCGTCACTCTGAAGTCTCCTCTTATTATAGAATCATGATCCTAAATTATAATATAGATAAATGGAGATAACTTAGATTTATTAACACAAATTACAAGATTTCAAAACTTATCTTTCATAACATTCATTACTTACTTGATCTCTCTTAGAACATAATCTGGGAAACCCGCCTCGTCAAAGTCAAAAACAGGATTCGGAATGTTTTTGCCTCTAAGAGTGATTTCCTTCTCGGCTCTGTATTGTTCCACGATCCGGGGATCTCGATTTTGCACTGCGTTGTGAGGAACATAGAAATCCTTCTTGAAGGGCTCCAGTCGGTTGAGATCCCATCGTGGTTTCCTTAAATTCGCGCCTGGTTGTCCACGACTGTTGCGACTACTAGAGGGTCTGTCTCGTCCACCGCTGCCACCCCAGCTCCTCCTGTCACGTGGAGATCTACTCCGCGAACGAGTGCGTGATCTGCGTCGTCTGTCCCTTTCACGACTGCGACTGAAATAAGTTGCATGTATGATTAGATATTAAAGTTCCAATTTAGAGAAATCATAGTACAATATAAAATATATATTTTATATAAATACATATATAAAACATGGAAAGACCTCAATTACACACATCGCATGTTGCACACATACACGCTAATTTAAAAATAAAATATTGTCATTGATAAAGTAATGAAAAATTACTAGGCATCAGCTGATATGAATAGTGTGTGCAATCGAGATTGTAGGCAAACGGGATCCTCTTTAAAATATATATTTTTTTATACAAAGTGAGAGAAATTTATTTGATCAAAAAGTCAAGACATTTATTTGTAACTCATATGTATAGATTATATATATCAAACATAATCATTATACAGAACGTTTGTATTACATGAGAAATTACAAAAATATCAAAAAAAATTTGATTTTTGTTGGTAGAAAGAAGGTAAGCTTTTGATGCCGCAAAAAGTTTCCATCGACGGATATAATAGTGCTCCCAACAATCCCTTCATTTCATTTCACGTATACAAATGCCGTATTATCGGTGTTACTTACCTCCTATAGCGGCCCATATTTACACTTTTCGCGTAAACGACTTCGTTTGTTTATTGTTAAATAATGTCACTCGAGAACAAACGGCCCGCGGTAACTCACATACGGAACGTCAGACAACGCGACTCCAAACCGAATCCGAGGCTGAGTGACGCATAGAGAAAAAAAAAGTGGCGCCATTAAAGTAGCAATGATGTAGATGCGCCGGTCCACATTAAAACTGTATGTTCATGCGATTTGATAAAAACAAGCCGAGAAAAATTCTCTACAGAGCTATTTCTCCGATTATGTTTGTCCGAAAAATTGTTTTTCTCAATCATCTTCACACCATTTGTGATTTACCTACAGTTGGATACTTATGTACTCGATTTCTAGCTGCATGTCACAAAGGAACTACATCTGTTCGAAGTGCACTCGGTTGTTTTTTCTTGAAGTCCTCGTTGAACCACTCGATAAATTTTGTTTATTTTTATACATCTAAATGAGAATCACAGCGATTTCCATTTTTTTTAAATAGTTGTAATGTCCATTGTACTCAGTATCTTTACATTTTCTTTTTTCAATAGCCGAATATAGTCTTTCATCTTGTTCTAAGTGTAAAGATTTCGAGGGCTTTCAAACAACATGAATAAATCTCTCTTGACTATGTCTATTTCTGCTATGCGGAAAGTGTTGCCGTGTTTTATGTACGGAACCATAGACTAGTTTCAAGATCGCCTTGAAGAATAGTCTATAAATACTGGCCATAAAGATGTAATGTTTTTACATGATGACATCAAACAAGATAGTGGAATGTTATTATCATAATACCAGTATTTTTCACAGCTTTTTTTGCTTTTAAGTTTCGTTCAGCCAGAGGAAGCTTAAAATTCTATGACGCTTGCAAACCTTTTTAATGAATTGTTCCTCTTCTGTAATTTTTTTACTTCATCAATCATTACGGAACTCTCGGTTCAGAATCCTTTGAGTAGTCTCCATATAATTTCTGCATTATCCATCAAACTCTTACATATTTTTTTCTATTTTCTACACATAATATTAGCGTTACATTATTTACAAAATAAAGAAATATTAGTAATACTCATCACATTCTGGATAAAAAAAATTTTTGTCAATATAAATTCTATTATATCCTTCTATACAAAGATGATAATATTTCGTTTTGGGAACAAATTGTTTCGCACACGCTATATATAAGTATAGAATTTTAATAGTTTTCTACAAAAAATATACAATATAACATAATAAACATCAATAATGACATAATAAAAATATTTTTTATATCTTTATTAATATTATTTATTTAAATATACTTATCTCGTTTGTATTTTCTGTCAAAAATTTATCAGCCATTATATTTCAAATACTTATTCACAATTAAAAATTATACGGTTATAATCTTGTGTCAATAAATTACGAAAATTAATGAAATAAGGGTAAAACGCCAGCTTTCATTAGATGCGTGAAATAAAAAACAGACTGATTACATTCACATGCAAGCGTCAAGCAGCGAAAGCAGCAACTAATCAGCTGGACGATACGGGCAATGGTGTAAAAATATTTTTTACGCCATTGTAAAAATCGCCTTATTAAAAGACAAAAAAGTGTGACAAAAGTGTGATTAACGCTGCAAATACTTCATTGACCAATTAGAAGAAAGAATTTTTCGAATTGACCATCAAGGAATGCTTCAAAGCATTTGTAGCGTGAAATGAATCATTCCCTAAAATCTAGACGATCTGTCTGGTCTGAGATCTCGGACAAAGAAAAAATTAACAAATCACATTTAAAACAATTTGATCATATGATTATTGCGATTGGTCAATTTTTTCTTCATTCGAAATCTTGGACCGATTTCTAGATTGTGAACATCAAGCTTAACGCCGGCGTCCCATGAACGAAAATTATAGCGGAACAGCAAGACCAATTACAATCGCAGGAAAGAAAGCAGAGTAATGACTGCAGAGTTGTGATCGGTCGCGCTGATCCGTTCCGCTGTAAATTTCCGCTCCATGGGACGCCAGCCTAAATTTCCAAGAGTACAGTTGAGTCGAAGTGGGAAAATTGACTAATCACAGTCGAGTATTTCCCTCTCATTTGACGATAAAAAGGGAATACTCGAAAATGATTGGTCAATTTTTACAGATTATGGAATACGGTTACAACTAATATAAACGTTCCCAATTTTGGGGCACTATTCTTGAACAAATATCGCATACAAAAATAATAATTTACAATCGACCGATCACAATCGAGAAATTGTCATTTTCGTATGCGAAAATGATTTATATGTTCAAGAATAGAGCCCCTGAGTTTGATTCCGACTTTAGTGCAAAAAGTGCAAAAACGTAAACAGACCTCTTGACGAATGATTAGTCATCGCATTACGACATGCACCAATCGAGATCGACCGTCCAAATGATATACATTTACCGACCGAGTCGAGCGACTGCATTAGTGAGCAATGGTAACGCAGGTATGCGCCTGCGCATCTGAAGCATGAGCTTCAGAAACATATCGGCGGCGCATGCACGCATACACGGTCATGGGTCATGGGCATGATGGATGGGCACCCCCACAGATATCGTAGAGCTGCGAACGAGGAAGGGATTCTCCGCTAACCAGTGAACCATTTTTCTGTCGTCAAACGGATCAAGCTTTTTGTGAGACTTGGATCGATCACAAAAAGCGGGATTCGCTTTTCGCATAGGAATTGGCCTGACGAGGAGCCGGCACATCATTTTTTCCACGAAGCTACGTCTCCCCGAAAATCGTAAGTGCGAAGGATGCGTGTTTGTTCCCCCGGTGACTTTGGGCCCGCCGAGATCGAATCGCCGCGGTGTAGCGGACGATAACGTATATATGCATATGTACGCATACATACGCGTGGCAACCGGTCGGCGTCGGCGGCGGCTGTTTTTCTGAAAATCTTGCCATCGTCAACGCTACCGAGAATTGCGAGACAACGCTGCGTTCACGTTCTACATGCATACCACGCGCGACGACACCCCGTCCCCGGCGTGTCCCACGCATATTTCCGTTACGGTCAATCGATGAGTTTTATAACAATCATGGCGGCCATGCCGGTCTCCTTCGCGGTCTCGAAACATCGTTGACCGCATCGACAAAACATGATTCTGACACGTTTTACACGCGCACGCCGCATGCCGACTCTTTCATTCGCCGGGATAACCGACCGCGAATTAATGACGATGTATTAATTGTCGCATCATGGCGACCGGAAATCCAGAGTAAATCCGGAGTAATCATCGCGATTTCGATATTTATAGCGAGATAGAAGAGGACAAAATCGTAAAGGGCGCACGAGGACGCTAATTGACTCCTACATGCATCGTCGTTGTTCGCTAAGATGAATACAGATGTAAGGACATGAGATATGTTTTGTTTTAAAACTCCTAAATGTTATTTTTGTGTTGCCTGTTTCTGTCAATAACTCTTCATTTTTTCTCTCTAATTCTAAGAATTAGAGAAATATATAAAGTCAGTTAAATCAAGATTCAAATTAATCCATTGGTAGAAACAAATATTATGTATGTCTTTCAACAAGCGACACAAATGACAATGTGACACAATGGATCATTATATCCTTGTTGTTTGCTAATGTTAAACAAAGATGACATGATCACTGTGTCACACTGTGTTGCTTGTTGGAAAGCATACTTGCTAGGTAAATAGAATGATGAGAGGGGGAATGTTATTAAATTCTATTTTTTACATCGTGACTTGAACCTTGTGTATCATCAGTTACTTTGACTTTGAAGAAAGGTTATGGTTTCATAACATGTGATTTTCAGAACACAACAATGGAGGAAATGCATCAACCACCGCAGGTCGGGCCTACTAACATGATGCCTGGTGTGGGTGGCGTTCCTAATCATTCTAATAATGTCAATCGTCGTAATAGAGTTCGTGTAACATTACATGCTATGATGTTAGAGAAACTTCCATTACACGAGGCGGCACGTTTGGAAATGAAGTCGTTACCCAGCAAAACACCTGTCTCTGTTCTTCAGGAATTGCTTTCCCGTAGAGGCACAATACCTAAGTATGAACTCGTCCAAATCGAGGGAGCTATTCACGAGCCTACGTTTCGATATAGAGTCACTGTTACCGACGTCGTTGGTTTGTATAAATTCATTGTGCATGTATTGTCATGCATAACAATGTACTGTTGATTGATAAGTACATAACTATTCAGAAACAGACCCAATTGTTTCAGCAATGGGGACCGGCAGGTCCAAGAAAGAAGCTAAACATGCTGCTGCAAAAGCTGTATTGGATAAATTAATTGGAGTGAACACCGATGGTGTAGAATCGCCAATTCCAAATAGTTTACCCGAGTAAGCATGAATTGCGCTTATATCATATTTATCCTTCCTGCAATCTGAATCTTTTTTGAGATTGGTGAAATTTCATTTTCCTCTGAAATAAAGGAGAGCAAAATCTAGTTTCCTTATTGCTAAATTATATATTTTTATTCTCCTTGTTTAAATTTTGAGTTTTGTTTTAAGTAAAGATTTTCAGTAAAAATTTTAAAATTTGAGTTAAAATACACAAACACACACTCAGATGGAATATAAATAAAAATATGATTACAGGATAATTCAATTGTAAGAGTATATGCAGGATAAAATAATTTTATGTATATTTTTATGTAGCTCACAAAATTTACAAGAACTGCAGACATATGGAGAGGAAAAAATAGTAAACAATCCAATTGGAGCCTTACAAGAAATGTGTATGTCGCGCCACTGGCCACCTCCAAAATATTCGATGGAGGGTGAAGAGGGCTTACCTCATGAGCGACAATTTACTATTGTTTGTTCAATCCTAAAATATCGCGAAGTTGGTCAAGGCAAAAGTAAAAAAGTCGCTAAGAGACATGCCGCTCATAAAATGTGGCAAGCTTTACACGAAATGAATAACCAAGCTCCCAGCGTAGATGAAGATGAGGTAAGAATGTTTTCGTTTTTGTTAATTATTGTATCAAATAATAAAAATTATCTATTCTTATATATCGCTGCAAGAATAGATAATTTAATCTATTATTAGTCCCTATTCATTACTATTTTAATATTTGAATATTTCAATCTCTCTTGCATTTTACCTTACTCCATTGAATAAAGTTATTTTAAAAATATCTTTCATTGCCCTTTAAAATCTAGAAAAATTTTAAATAAATGAAAAAAAAGAGAAAACAGCTAAGACATAATTAGAAGGATAAAACTTCTGCAAACTTCTGCTGGCTGTCAGACATGATCACAAGAGTTAAGAAGTGTGAATGATCAATGATTTATTTTAAATTGGATGTGTTTGTATGCGTATGTGCATATGTGCATATGATGAGTGTGTGTATTTAGAGAAGTGGAAGTGATTTTGGCTTTAATGCCACTTTATAGGTCTGTTCTTTATAGCTGAATATACTCTTACTTAAAATGAAATAGATATATATTTGAAATTTAATAAAAATGACAAATACACTGAAACTTCGTAATAGCGTGCGGTTTGGGAATGTGAACGCTATAACGAGATCGCCCCTACTTAAAAATAATGAAGTGGTTATTGCTATTTCCCACTCAAGCTATTCTTATCGCAGAAGGGATTTTTCGCGCTACTTCATGATTCGCTATTACGAGATGTTGTATTCTCGTGTTGAAAGTTTTGCAAACCAGTTCAGTGACAAAGAACAAGCCTTATGTAATAAAAGCTATCTTTCCGATCTGTTTAAATCTATAACGGACCATTGTTTGGACAATTTCGCATTTCAATGTAACTTTTGTATAGCTTTGTGTATTTTATTTTTTGAGAGTATAATTACGCTTGGATCATATCCACTTCATTTAAGTTTTTATATAAATGTGAAGTAGCTGTTAAAGCTTTTACAACGTAGGTGCTTACAAGAAATTTTACATGTATATTAATTGTCCATTATAGATTGTGCAAAGAAACGCAAATGTGAACGCCCGTTATGCCGATCTGAAAGGTAGCAAAATTTCAACACTGACAACAATACATAGTATCCAAGTTTCAAAATTTCACAAGAGTCTCAAGTCGTCCACAGGTGTTAAGCTTTTCCAACTACAGGTTTGTATCCAAATGCCGAAGAATAGAAGAATGTACATTGTTGTTCTCTTGTTTACTATCAAGCCAGAAAAAAATTATTTGTTTATCCCTATGATATCGACTTAAATTGCAATCGATTGCGTAAGTTATTCTAATTGCAGAACTTTATTGCAGAACACTTGTTTCAACGATGGGGATGTAAATTTGGTACAATTTTTACAAGAAATTGCGTCAGAGCAGCAGTTTGAAGTAACTTATGTTGATATTGAAGAGAAATCTATCAGTGGTAAGTTTATCAATGATATATAATATGAAAAACGACTTTATTTATATATAAATTACTTTATAAATACATCCATAAATTACTTTATGGATTTATGAGGTTTTAGAAATAACTGCACAGAAAAAAATCATACATATTTTTTTTTATTGTATTATTTATTATCCAGTAAGTACAATATCAACAGGTACATCATTCTCATTAACAGGAACGTCTTCTTGTATTTGTTCTTTAAATCCTACCGCAATCAAATATGGCTTTATGTCTTTTTGAAAACATCTTTTTAAGTATTTATCATAATAACCCATTCCATGTCCCAAACGTTTTCCTAATCAGTAATAAAGACAATACAGTTGCATGCAGGATTACAAAATGATGTTATATTTATTGAATAAAACTCACCATTCACCGTGAAAGCAACACCTGGTAAAATTACTAAATCTAATCCACCTGTAATAAAGAATTAATATTGTTAAATAAGTAATATCATTAAAATTAGTAAACAATGAATTTTACAAAATTTATCAGAAAATGTATTTTTTTATTATTATTTGATTTATCATAGAATTCACCTGTTTCTAATGCGTTTTCTTGACTTTCAGTAATGCTTGGTTGTTTAATGTTCCATTTTGTTAGTGGCAATGTTTCATAATCCTCCATCGACTTTAGTTTTATCATTTCCATAGTTTTTCCATGATATTGCGGTATAAATACTTCTTTTTCCATATTAAATATATGTTTCAAGATGGGCAAAGTGTCGATTTCATCTTTAGTACTCAAATACAAAGAAATTCTCTTGCTATTTTGATATTGTTTTAACTGGCATAGCTGCAAATAATAATATTGCAAATATATTGCGCAAAAATCATTGCACATGCTCAGAACATAACCTCTTCAATGAGCCAAGAGCCTCTAGTTCTTGGAGATTATCGATGTATTTATTTTTCTCAGATTCACCTTTTTAAACACATTTATAGATTGCTTCTTTCTTTCTTCTAGACTAATATTTTTAAGAATATTCTTAATTTCTTGTCTCAAAGCTTTCTTAGTTGATGTTAAAGCTGCCATATTGTAGATTATTGTTTTCTTATTGATCACTTCTGCTGTTGTACTATTGTAACATTTTTTTTTTTTTTAAGTATATCTGTGTTCAACTTTACTAAGCACAATTTTATCTGAGTTTAGCAATGCTTACATGATATCTATGTCTTTTTTTTTTATTATCTCTTGGTGTCATGTTATCATGAATTATGATGTAAATGTTGATCAAAATTGCCCAATTTTAATTGTACATGTTGAAAAATAAAAATTATTTGTGAACATTGCAACATAGAAATAATCTAATCATTATGATATTCTAGGTAAATTCCAGTGCCTTGTGCAACTGTCTACCCTGCCAGTGGCAGTTTGCTATGGTTGCGGCGCGACTAGTAAAGATGCTCAAGCCAGTGCTGCTCAAAATGCCCTGGAATATCTGAAAATCATGACCAAGAAGTGAGCCAGCGCTTTGCTCCTGCCAGTCACTATCACCTGCAAGCCCCATCTGGCATCTAATAATCAGAATAATAATGCAAACATCAAAGTATTATCAGCCAAAAATCAGATTTTCGATAAAGGAAAAAGTGGTCAGAATTATATGGGAAATAAAACTAGAACATCCAAGTTATCTGTTAAGATAACGAACACCACAGTGGGCAACAAAAATGCTGCTTTGCACACCATTGCGTCTGGTAAAATTAACTCGTCGATGAAAAAGCATAATGGTAATAATGATACTCCGAAGTCTTCGAGCGAATCGCACAACACGACGAAATCGATCGCCGCAAAACAATCCAGCAGTTCCACATATAGTAGCGTACGGCCTGTCAGTACCTGTATAAGCAACACTGTGCACGAAAACGCGATAAAAAATCCAAGAGATTATACCGCACCAAAGAAATTTCCAAATGAAACTGATTCAAATATCAAGAATTATTCCATTCAATCAGATTACAAGGAATCGATGTCTGTGATCAGTCCAGATTACAAGAACACCAGCATTGCTGGATCAATGACGGCCAATCTGCCGTTAAGATTCACTATGCAACAATCATCGACAGTGACGCCGGTTATACACAGAGAGACCTACACACCGTCCAGTACATATAGTTCGCAGTCTGGTTCCTGTCAGAGGAACGACAACAGCGCGTTTGCGATTGCACGTAAAGCATTGGAACAACAGCAGAGCTCGATGCCGAAAATGGCACCGATCAATTTTCCGCCATTGCGCGCTCCGCAGAGCATCGTTAACGTGCGACACCCGTTATTAACGGATGCACGTATCAAGCACGGTAACGAAACGATCGGTGGCGTCGCTGACGGTGGTGGCAAATCCAAGCTTAATATCATCGGTTCGTTACAGGGCGGTGGTATAAAAGATCTAAGCGATCATACAGGTCGTTCGCAGACTACGTTCCACGGATATGACACCTCACAGATTGCTCCCGGCATACCAAGCGTGCAGAATCTAAGCAGTGCGGTGACGGCTAACATCTCACCATATCCAAGACCAGAACCCTTTCCACAACCAACAGTTGCAAACGTGCTGTTCTCCGATACCGCTGCGCAGTTTCCACAGTCACCGCCATTTAACACCACCCAGATTGGCCAGCTGAATCAGTATCAGACTTATGACCCGGGAAGTTATCCCACTACACCGGTCAACGTCAATCCGGTGATCCCGCAGTTCTCCGCGGAGAGTTCCATTCCATATCCGCAGTACGAGAATCCGCCGCAATTCGTGCAACCAAGTCATTATCCAACTGCTGACATAACCAGCAGTCAGTACCAGTATCAGGCGGCGGCAGCAGCAGCAGCGAGTGTAGGTCAAATACAGGACTCATCCATATTTATCCAGAGTCTTCAGAGTACAATTGCGGTGACTGATCAGTACGCTACGCCGAATTACGCCAGGACTGTCAGGACGGAGCTGATAACACGGTTGAGAAGACCACCGCGATTCAACAAGTAACACCGTCGGATCTTTATTTTAGATTTTTTTTTTTTTAGATACTACATCGCGAAACTTGGGAACAAATGTGGTCGCACTTCCTTACATTATGATTCGTGGATGCTGGATAGAGTTTGTAAGATAGTTTGTAAGATACTCGTCTCTATTTATCCATTCTTTAACGTAGAAATTATTCGTTGACCCTGAGAGAGACGAGTTGATGCGAGTCACCAATTATTTATCGTTGTGTCGAGCGTTTCGCAGATATTTCGCGTGTACGCGAAGTTTGTCAGATTACCTTACTCGCACTTGTAAAGGATATGGTAAAACTTATTTCAATTTATGATCCAGTTTGAAATAAATTTTAGCCAATCTGAGTCAGAGACGCGATCGTCCGAGCGGGCAGACGATACTTTGGCAAATTTACGCAAACACGGTATACGGCCAATGTTCTCGCCCAATGTTGGCACGTAACATTTTAAAGGATGCATTTTACTGTAAGTGTGGAAAAGCAGGATGATTTTGGCTTGTTTTCGTCATACGAACGACACGGCAGGGCATAGTGAGTTGAGCTCAACTGTAATTTTACGATGTAATGTATTCTATAGCGTGAATCTGCAAGGATGGAATGATATACAAGGATACACGCTATTTATGAAGTACCTAAATCACGACCGCTGTACGCGATGGGGACGGTGGCGTCACGTGTTGATTGAATTAGCTTTTCCGAACGCGCACGAATCCCGGAAAAGATAGGAGTATTCGAGCATGGAGAACGGAACGGCACTTCAACAGAAAGAGGAATAAAAAGAAAGAGAATAGAGAGAGGAATATTGCCCCGCGAGGTACAGGCGAGGTAGAATTCTTCTCTTCTCAATTATCATGTAAGTTCTAGTTTTAATGAATGATATTCTACAAGCTATACTTTGCATAGAATTAGTGGAAGTTTTCCAATACTTACATAATACTTAGCTTATCGCTACGTTTTTAATGTGCTTCACTATTTGTATATGGGGTGGTGGTGTAATGATGTCTGAGATGAGTGCGCGTAAGAAAGAGATTATATGAATTTAGGGAAGAGAGGGATGAAGAAATCGTGAACGAGGCAGAATCGTGTAGCGATTTTTATTATCACGTGTAGAGCGACGCATATCGTTCAAATTTTGCTCCCATTTACCGCGAAACATTACATCTCCACTAAGCGTATGCACAGTGCAAAAAGATTTTAAAAAAATAAAAAAAAAACAAAAAAAAAGTAGCTTTGCGCGGCGATCCGAGTAGCTAATAACGCGTGATCGCGGATATAAGAAAATATAATCTTTCAGTGGTGTATGTTTTTTCCTTTAGTATAGGTAGCTCATAAACTCATAAGCATCACATATTAATACGCGTGTAAGGATTAATCGTTAAGGATTCTTCATTAAAGTACGCATGTCGAGTCTAAGATATAGGTCGAATGTGTATCGAATTTCGGATTTTGCCTACGTACCAATTGACGTATCACCGGATGAGACTTTTTATACTAAATGAAAAAGAATAACATCGCAAATATACAGCAGAACATACGCGAAGCGCGTCAGGCGGCGGGACGGCTCGATCGAGAAAGCCATACGGAACTTCCGATCCAGTCGTCGGGTGTTGCATTTCACGGATCGTGACATATCTCTTTGGTCCGTCGAATAAATTTAGAAACGCGGAGATCTCTGCAAGTTCGATTTCGTCGCGTTTCTAGATTCGTTAGACTTGAACTTCGAAATTTATTTAAAATTCAATTCAGTCCTAATTCTGATTCATCGTATTTTCTTATGTATGTATGATATCCTAGAAAGCGGAAGTATAAGGGATACGTTGATCGGAATTAGCTAATGACTGTAGATTGATTCTCAAGGAATAATTTAGTTAGGCAAATGCATTTGGTGTAGCACCAACGAACGGCATAATTCTTAATTTTCTTACGATCGGCATTTACTTTCTTTTTTTTTTTCTTGTTAAATTATACATATATCTGCGTGTGCATACGCCATTTTGAGTTGCGATGGTTCAGGAATTTTACGGTAAATCATCGTTGATAATCTGTAAGTAGTATATTCTTTTGTACATAATGCTGTGTAAAAGTGGCACAATAAAATAGTGAGCGAGCGAGAGAGAGAGAGAGAGAGAGAGAGAGAGAGAGAATGAAAGAGAGTGAGAGATTCGTTAGTATTATAAGCGTTAGGGCCGAGAGCAACGTCGATTAATACTGATTACAATTGTACATATTTGCTTTTCTAAAAAAAAAAAACATACAAGGAGAGAATTTTTGTAATTTTATCGAATCAATACTATACTATCATCATATACTAATATCATCAATAATCTATTAATCATCGCTATACTAAATCATAAATTTGTATGTAAAATATTCTTTTTAGGATATCTTTCATAATCTCCTTGAATCATTCATGGATCGATCGATATCCGAGATTGATCGGTAGTAATTGACGTTGCCAACATAATTGAACATTAGTTTCCCAGTGAAAGATTGATAAAAACCGGCGAAAAATTATAGCGAAATCGTGTATGCACATCTCCTTCAAAGATCGATCATAGCGCGTTTCTGTAATATTTTGATGCGCATATACAAGGACGTTCCATTTTACATACGATACACATAATGTATCATTTTATCTATGTTATATTCTAGAGCACTATAATATAGATATTCGCATTCGCCATTTTTAGTCCTTTCCCCACTCTTTGTTCTCTCTTCAATCTTCTGTCTTCTCTCTTCAATTTTCTTAATTTAGTGGTGGAGTGGAGAGAGAGTAAGGGATTGAGGAAAGAAGCAAGAGAGTGAGAAAAGGACTAAAAATGGCGGATGCGAATACGATTCAAGCGCGGCGAAGTAAAATTTTTCAGTGTATAGAATTCCTGAAGATAGATTGAGAGAGAGAGGGGAGGAGGGGGCGGGGAATAAATATATTTCCTCATAAATATATTTCACATATCTTTTCTATGGCAAAAGTAGCTGCTCTAATTTTACTTTTTTAAATAAAATTATTAATGAGCTCCTCCCTATTTAACTTATCGACCATTTCTCGAT